GGTTCAGGCAATTCTCCTGCCTCAGCCTCCTGAGTAGCTGGGATTACAGGCACGTGCCACCATGCCCAGCTAATTTTTTGTATTTTTAGTAGAGACGGGGTTTCACCATGCTGACCAGGATGGTCTCGATCTCTTGACCTTGTGATCCACCCGCCTCGGCCTCCCAAAGTGCTGGGATTATAGGCGTGAGCCACCGCGCCCGGCCGAGGAGCTAAATTCTTAAATACGCTTGGGTTTATTTCTCTGCTCTCTGTTATATTTTATTCAGTATCCTCCTGTGCTAATAAGAAAAATAAGTTTAAATGGTACTAAATTTTATTGTAGTTTTATAATATGTTTTAATATGTGGTAAGGCAACTCTCCTTTTCATTAGGAATTTTTTGTTATTCTTTATGAAGTGTCCCAATTTGTAAATGGTTCAAGGGATTATCTTTCAAAATAATCTCTGATTTATCCAAAGTTAAGATTTTTAGGAACAGCCATTTTATTATTTGTTTATTTATTTTCGAGTATCTTGTTCTGTCATCCAGGTTGGAGTGCAGTGGTTCAGTGATAGCTTACTGCAGCCCTGACTTCCTGGGCTCAAGTGATCCCCCAACCTCCCTAGTAGCTGGGACTATAGACACATGCCACCATGCCTGGCTAATTTTTAATTTTATGGGGAGAAAAACTTACTATGTTGCCCAGGCTGGTCTTGAAAACTCCTGGGCTCAAGGAGTCCTCCCCTCTTAGCCTTCCAAAGTGTGGGGATTACAGGTGTGAGCCACCACGCCTGGCTCCATTTAAATTTTTGTTACAGAAATAAAGTGGGTTTCAGTCATTATAGAAGAATGGAATTTAATTTTAGTCATATGAAAAGTAACTATGCTGAATTATTTTTTAAACTAGCAACAACTCATCTTTAGTTTAATCTTATGATAATAATTTTATCATTCTTGACTACTCTATCTGACAATGATAATGAAAGTATTTTTATAGAATAGTTAGAGGGTGTTCCAAAGGCATTTCAATTGTTTCAAGCTCGGGGGTAAAGTTACTCTGAGTAAATAATGTAGCTACATAGCAGGAGTTTTGACTAAAAAGAAAACAACACTAAGTTATTGTTATTATTGTTAAGGTACTCTAAGTGCCTTGAGGTTAGAATATTTGTTTTATTAATTTCTGTGTCTATCACAGCATTTTTTTTAATTTTTAATTTTAAATTTTGTGGGTACATAGTAGGTGTATATATATTCATGGGGCATGTGAGATGTTTCGATATAGACATGAAATGTGTCATACTTACATCATGGAAAATGGGGTATCCATTCCCTCAAGTGTATATCCTTTGTGTTACAAATAATCCAATTATGCTCTTTTAGTTATTTTAAAATGTTCAATTAAATTATTATTGACTATAATCGCCCTGTTGGGCTATCGAATACTAGGTCATATTTATTCTTTCTATTTTTCTTTTTGTACCCATTAACCATTCCCACCTTTCCCCAATGCTCTTATTACCCTTCCCAGCCTCTGGTAACCATCCTTCATACTCTGCCTCCGTGAGTTTGTCCGAGCATCTTACCTTGCTTATTTATTTACTTAGGAGTCATTATCTAAGATACAGACTTCTCCATATAACATGTCTAATTGCTCACTGTCTTTATTTTTTCCCCATCTGGTTTAAGGCTTCTTGATTTTCACACTTGCTGAGGACTGTCCTCCAGCCTCTACTGGTGGCTGGTGATGGGAACTGTCTGAACCAAAAATTCTTCCCTGTGGCCTTCTTTCTTTCTGACTTAGGAAGAAGATACATGCATGTACATTCTCTCATTTAAAAATTTTAGATTTAAAAGATTCAAGCTTGGTGGCTTTTTAAATATAAATTTTTTAAATTCTAAAAATAATAAATTCTAAAAAAATAAAAAATAATCAATGTGTAAGATTAGGAAAATGTGGGCAATTGTGGTATAAAAATAACCACAGAGAAACTACTTTTAATATTTTGGTATACTTCTTTTCTTACTTTCTAACTCCTTTCATTCCCCCCTGCTGTCCCTGCCCTTCCTGTGTCATATGATACATAAGTTTCAGATTCTGCATAGTGTTTCCCCATTTTAGGAGACATTTTTAATGGATGTATAATCCATCATGTGGATGCACTATATATAATTCACACATTTTATAAACTCTCTTCCTTTTCTTGCTTTTCCAGAATTTGCTAAATTATATATGCGGTTTTCTTGAGGAAAATTCTTCTTTTCTTTATTCTAGTGTCAGTTAAAAAAAATTCTAATTCTGGTGAGAGTGCTGCTAATGATATACCTATATTTCATATCAGTTCATTGATTCCTTTAATAAATATTTTTGAGAACCAATTGTGTGCCTGGCAGAATTTAAGGACATTCAGTTATAGTATAGTGCAATGAGTGTGATGATCCAGGAAAACATAGGATCCTATGAGAACTAAGAGGAGGACACCTATCTTAGTTTGAAGTTTGGAGATAGTAGTCAGGAAATCTTACCAATCTTGCCAGAGGAAGTGAAACTGAAGCTGGGTTTGAGGGACTCCATGTTAGTAAGGTAGTCATACAGTGAGAGTGTAGTAAGGCACTTGAGGTAGAGGGAACAGATGCAAAGATATGGAGGTATCCGACAACATACCAAGTTCAGGAAGCTTTTATATTAATATTAAATGTAGTTTCAGCATATGCTGCATGTGAAGTAGTAAAAGAGGAAGCTGGTAAGTAGGCAGAGGTTATTTCATGAAGGTTCTTAAATATCCTTAAGTACTAGGAACTGTGCCAAGTGCTAGGTGTATAAACAAAGAAAGCAGAGTCCCTGAGGAATGTGTTTATAGCTTTCATTCTCATATATACATCAGCAGTTCTCAAATCAGTATGCCTAGCCCAGACCTCTCCTTTGAGCTCCAGAGCTATATATCCAACTGCCTAGTTGATTGACATCCCGAGAATGTAGCTAGAGTGTAAGTTCCAAGGAAGTAGATATTTCATTGTCTTTGTTCTCAGTGTACTTGCAGTGCCTAGAACACTACCTGGCAATAATTTAATGATTTAGGAAAAGAACGGCCAGGTGTGGTGGCTCACGCCTGTAATCCCAGCACTTTGGAAGAACGAGGCAGGTGGATCACAATGTCAGGAGTTCAAGACCAGCCTGGCCAAGATGGTGAAACCCCATCTCTACTAAAAATACAAAAAAATTAGCCAAGTGTGGTAACAGTCACCTGTAATCCCAGCTACTCGGGAGGCTGAGGCAGAGAATTGCTTGAACCCGGGAGGCGGAGGTTGCAGTGAGGCTGAGATTGCACCACTACACTCCAGTCTGGGCGACAGAGTGAGACTGTGTCTCAAAAAAAGAACAACAATAACAAAAAAACAAAACGATTCTTTGCTTGTGTTTCTCAGAGACATCTTAAATACTACATATCTCAAATCAAATTCATAGTCTTCACCCTCTAACTTCTCCCTTTCCTGATGTTTCCTATTTCAGTGACTGGCACCATCTTTGGCATATCCCTGTTCTTTACCTTCCATATCCATTGTTATCACCAAGACATACTGAATTTTCTACATGCTTCCTCAGCTGTCCATTTTTCCATCTTCACTGCTCCAAGTCCAAGCTATCGTCTCCTAGTCCTGTATAATATAGGTTCAGCATCCCTAATCTAAAAATCAGACATCTAAAATTTTCCAGGATCTGTAACTTTTTGAGTGCCAATATGATGCTCAAAGGAAATGCTCACTAGAGCATTTTGGATTTTTGGATTAATGATGCTCAACTAGTTAGTATACATAATGCAAATATTTTTAAAAATGTAGAAATCCAAACACTCCCAAGCATTTTGGATAAGGGATACTCAACCTGTAGGAGTAAACTCATTGTCTATTCTTGTTCCTTTCCATGTTCTTCTTCATGCTGCTATTGAAGTAAAACAAACCAACCTACTGAATCTGGTTATGATATTCCTGTTTGAAGCAAATTGCTCTTAGGATAAAGAACAAAATTTTTAACCTGGTCGACAAGACCCTTTGTGCTTTGGGATCTGTATAACCATATAACCTCATCTCATGCCGTTTAAAAAATTTTTTTAGGCTTTTCTGTTTTCTAGTCACATTGACTTTTTAAGTTCCTCTAATAGACCATGCTTTCTCCTGGCTCATAACTATGATGTATGATTAGTAACTTTTAATACACATTATAAAATGGAATGTCTTTTGTAATAGAAATGAATGTATCAAATTTTAGAGTAGATATTTATAACCCTAAAAGGGTAATGTTCTGTGCAGCATTCTTTTCTTGAAAAGTAAACTGTCTGTGAATTATTGCAAATAAGCACAAGCATTTTCAGTTATAATTTGTTCCTTTTCAGCTTATGTCACACATCTCAATTTTCCCTGAAGTCAGTAATAAAACAATCACTTACGAGCTACATTTATTCTATTTTAAAGTAAGAAAATGTTTTCTGTTATAAATTTAAGCCATTCTGTTTTTTTAACTGATGCAGTATGGAAATAGGAAGGAAATGTAGGAAATGTCTTATTCAAAAAACAAAACAAAATAATTAGACTTTATGTGAAAGTACTGACTAATCAATGTAAGTGGAAGTCTTCATTCTGAAGATAGTCAAGATTTTTTTTATAAGATTTCAAATCACCTTTTCTAATTACCGATAAAAAAAATTTTGAATATTCTCACTAGCACCAATGTACCAGAGCAGAGCTGTGTTACTAAACTGATTTATTGTATTCAGCTGTGAACAACTGGAGGAGATTATTGCTAGGTTTATTGCTGCATATTTGGTAGTAAAGGTTTTTTGTAATTAAAATATAGAATATCTTATTCTATAAGATTTTTGTTTGTAGATGAGAAATTGGTTTTCTGTTTATTTCTGATGGTAAAAGAGAAATTGTTTTGTTCATTTCCAGTTAAATTGTATTTAATCACTTAAGTAACTTTAACAGGTATGGCTTCATATAACCATATATACTGTATACTAATTTCTTATTTTTCCTTAATTTTTTAAAGGAGTTTTTAAAGGAATTTTTAATGAGTATAAAAGATTAAACTCTACAGAAGAATGCAATCAAGTGATGGCTGTTCCTTTAGAATTTGAATATGGAGGCTACAGGAACAGATGAAGTTGACAAGCTAAAAACTAAATTTATATCTGCTTGGAACAACATGAAATATAGTAAGCATCATGTTTTAAAAATTGTATAAATCCAGAGAAATATTTGACAATATACATCAGCTTCCTTCTTAAGTCACTGACAATTACTTGAGAACAAATGGATACTTTACTTTTTTTGTTTGTTTCTTTGTTTTTAAACGGAGATGGGGTTTCACCATGTTGGCCAGGCTGGTCTTGAACTGCTGACCTCAGGTGATCTGCCCACCTCGGCCTCCCAAAGTACTAGGATTACAGGCGTGAGCCACCAAGCCTGGCTGGCATACTTTACTTTGAATGAAACATTTCTATAAGGAATATAGTTAAAACTGTCTCCCGAAGAAGGAGCCAAGTATTATCATAAACATTGCTTAGAAACTCAAGCATATGATGTGGTCTCCCCCCTCTTTTTTTTTTTTTTTTCAGGTTGCTGGAGTATATTAATATCCTCGTGGCTTGTATAGTTTTTTTTTTTTTGGTGTTCTAAAGCATATAGAATTTATTCAGGTGATGATAATACTTTGGCTTTTCAGATACAATTTCAGGCAGCCTCATCTCTGTGCCAGGAAATAAGCAAAATAGGCCTCTTCACACAGAAAATAGATGGTAAAGTTCCTGCACTGATACCTCTGATATTTCTCCTAGATCTTATTTTTAACCTAGTTCCTTTTGGTTTGCATACAAATCCAATAAGAATTATATGGAGATTTTTGAAGCCTACCTAAGATGGAGAAGTACTTGGACAGAACCAGTTTGAATAGGAAAAAAGCTCATATTCGTAAAATAAGTGTGAAAACAGAATTCAGTAAAACACCTTGATAATACAAATTCGGGAAAAGCACAATTGGCAGTTTAAATTTTGTACCATAAGAACATGGTGAGAACTTGATAAAGACCATTGTGACCTATCTGAAAATAAATTAAAATTAAATATTTTTCTTTCTTACATTCTTTAATTGGATAGTTTTAAAAGTGTATTTAAAATTCTTAACTTTATTTGAAACTAGGATGAATGGCTTGTATTTCCAGTTCATTGTCCAAATACTGTATTTTGCAACTGTTGTCAAAAATGCACATCCATAAGTAATAATCGATGGTTTGAAATTAAACAAAAGAAAATACTGCTAGACTTTTAGTCTGAAATCTTTTAATTGTAAGACGTTTTCTTTCTTTCTTTTTTCTTTTTTTTGTTAGGTTGGGTGTTGAAAACAAAGACGTATTTTAGTAGAAATTCTCCTGTATTATTGCTTGGAAAATGTTACCATTTTAAATATGAAGGTAAGTGTAAAATTTGTAAACCATTTAAAAATTTTTGTAGAAATCATCATGTAACTTTTCATTGTTTCATTTCTAAATTAATCTACTTTTGCAATATATTTGCTAAGTATTTGTATTTCATATAACCCATAATATATTACCATGTGGTTTGGGTTTCTTGTTAACTACTTCAGGATAAGGATCTTGTAATTTTTTGTTATATCCCCATAATTCTGGACTTACAGTATGAATACTAAGTAAATATTATTTGAATTGATATGTTAATATTCTTTGTCAAATTCTCTGATAATTAAAAGTATCACCTTAGTTAATCTAAAACTGATAATTTTTAAAATTATTAAGGATGTTTCAGTATCTGAAATTGACTTTACTTGATGGCTTTGAATTTCCATGTATACAAATTCTTTCAATAATTATCTTATATTTTCTTTTAATGATTCGTGTTACTCATTGGGTGCCAGGCACCATGCTAGGCTCTTAAGGAAATATCTTTTTTTTTTTTTAATTATACTTTAAGTTCTGGGGTACATGTGCTGAATGTGCAGGTTTGTTACATAGGTATGCACAGGCCATGGCGGTTTGCTACACCCATCAACATGTCATCTACATTAGGTATTTTCCTGAGGCTGTTCCCTCCCTTAACCTCCAAACCCTGACAGGACCCTATATGTGATGTTCCCCTCCCTGTGCCCATGTGTTCTCATTGTTCAGCTCCCACTTGTGAGTGAGAACATGCAGTGTTTGGTTTTCTGTTCTTTTGTCACTTTGCTGAGAACGATGGTTTCCAGCTTCATCCACATCCCTGCAAAGGACATGAACTCATCCTTTTGTGTATCTGCATAGTATTCCATGGTGTATATGTGTCACATTTTCTTTATCCAGTCTATCATTAATGAGCATTTGGGTTGGTTCCAAATCTTCTATTGTGAACAGTGCTGGAATAAACATACGTGTGCATGTGTCTTTATAATAGAATGATTTATAATCCTTTGAGTATCCAGTAATGGGATTGCTGGGTCAAATGGTATTTCTAGCTCTAGATCCTTGAGGAATAGCCAGACTGTCTTCCATAATGGTTCAACTAATTTATACTTACACCAGCAGTGTAAAAGCATTTCTATTTCTCCACATCCTCTACAGCATCTGCTGTCTCCTGACTTTGATGATCGCCATTCTAACTGGCATGAGATGGTATCTCATTTGGTTTTCATTTGCATTTCTCTAATGATCAGTGATGATGAGCTTTTTTTCATGTTTGTTGGCTGCATAAATGTCTCCTTTTGAGAAGTGTCTGTTCATATCCTTTGCCCACTTTTTGATGGGGTTGTTTTTTTCTTGTAAATTTGCTTAATATTAGCCCTTTGTCAGATAGGTAGATTGCAAAAATTTTCTCCCATTCTGTAAGTTGCCTGTTCACTTTGATGATAATTTCTTTTGCTGTGCAAAAGGTCTTTAGCCTGAGTAGAGGGCATAGGTTCTGGCAGTGAGAAATTACTGATGACTTTTGAGAGGGCATTTTTACTAGAGTGGTAAGAATAGAAAAGTAAAAAAAAGTCATGTTAACAGCAGCTAGCCTACATTTACTGATGCCATGATAGCGCTATTTACTATGGCTCCATAATATGTGCTAAAGCAAAATTGCACTGTTTTATAGAATGAATAGTTATGATACTGGAGTAGAGAAGAACTTACTTTTGTATTTTGAGACAGTTTCTTGCTCTGTTGCTCAGGCTGGAATGCAGTGTCACAATCATAGCTCACTGCAGCCTTGACCTCCCTGGGCTCAAGTGATCCTCCCACCTCAGCCTCCTAAGTAGCTGGGACCACAGGTGTGTGCTACCACACTCAGTTAATTTTTTATTTTTATTTTTTATAGAGACAGGGTCTCCCTGTGTTGTCTAGGCTTGTGTCGAACTCCTTGGCTCAAGCGATCCTCCCATCTTGGCCTCCCAAAGTGATAGAATTACAGGCTTGAGCTACTGTGCCAGCCAAGAACTTGTATAAACTGTGAAACACAGTCTATAAAGGGAAATATTAATCAGTTTGACTAGATAAAATTAAAAATATCTACATGATATTTATATAAATATATAAAAATATACATAAATAACATATATTTAATGTATATAAACATATTATATATGTTTATATACATGTATATTAAAAATATATACACATGTATATATATAATTACATGTGTATACATGTATGTGTATATAAATATACACATAGACATATCTAGACATATAATGTATATAATATATATAGTTATAGTTATTTTATAAAATAAAATATTTAATATATTACTTAGATATGTAATATATAATTATATATTTATAATTATTATGCATATATAATCAAGAAAGATTCATCTCCAAAATAATAAAGAACCACAAATGAATATGTAATGAATATGAAAAACATGAATAACCCAAGAAAAATGAACCAAGAATGTGAAGAGGTGCTGTTTAAATAGAAACTTGAATGGCCAGTCAAGCATAAGAAAATGCATATCCTGGTAATAAGGGGAATGCAAATTAAAACGAGATACTATACTTACTTAATCAGATGTAATATACAAAAATTTAAAGGTTTGATTATATCAAGTGTTAGCAAGGGTGTGAAGAAATACAAAGTGAAACACTGCTGGTGGAAGGGTAAATTGGTATAACCTCTTTGTGAGAAATTTGAGAGTACCTAGAAAAATACGGAATATATATAGCTTACGACCCAGCATTTCTTTCTTTTTTTTTTTTAAGATGGTTGGTGGGTGATTGAGTTATATGCTAAATAATGATCTTGAGTCACAACAGACTTTGACAGTGTTTCCCAATAATCAATGATCAAATATTAAAATGAGTTTAACAAACATGTATGTATTGGATACATAAAATACATTGCTACTAATTTTTTAAAATACTGAATTATATTCTAGAGTGATTAGAATAAGAAAAAATGTATCTTATATTTACAACCCAGCATTTCTAAGACCCTTAAGTATTTACAGGGAAGTTCTCTATATGTGTGGGAAACACGTACAAGAATTTTATTGTAGCTTTAATAAAAAACTGGAAGCAACTTAAGTATTCACAAGAAGAGGATTGGATGAATAAAGTTATTCATTCATTCTATAAGTATTTATTGAGAACTTACTGTGTGCCAGGCACTGGGGTTACTGCTAAAAGTATGAAACACAATCTTTACTCTCAAGAAACTTACAGTCAAACAGATGAGAGACATTACATAATTAAAAATAATTCCATTATGATATTGATGATGAAGCATAAGTACAGGCTATTAAGAAACTGTTAAGGTGGAACAAATCAGAAGGGATATTATTGAATGCACATAAGGAGAAAGCCTATTGCAAAATGGCGTCAATAATAAGGGGATTTGTGTTAGACGTAAGCAGCGGTCCTGAGGGTGGGGCTGGCTCTAGGTTGTTTAACTTGGTGACTTAGTAACATCATCAAGCACCCATGTCATAATCCATCTTCCTACTCAATCTCAACATGTTGTGGTCACCTCATACTCCTTATAGTAGCAAGTGTAGGATATATGAAATACATGCTATATGATACATGAAATATATGATATATGAAATAATTCAGTGGAAGGACTTTTCCTTCTTTGTATTATTTCTTATAAATACTTAAATTTCAGGCCGGGCGCGGTGGCTCACACCTGTAATCCCAGCACTTTGGGAGGCCGAGGCGGGTGGATCACGAGGTCAAGAGATCGAGACCATCCTGGTCAACATGGTGAAACCCCGTCTCTACTAA